TCCTGGGAAGGGACTCTCCCTCACCTGTCCGCCTCCTGCCTTTTCCAAAACTCCTGGGAAGGCAGTCTCCCTCACCTGTCCGCCTCCTGCCTTTTCCCAAACTCCCGGGAAGGCCAGCTGCAGAGGCTCCTTCTAACTGGCCCCGGGGGGTCTTGGAGGAAGCACCCCTCTTTTCCAGACTAAGGCACCCCAAGGCTGGGAAGTCCCCGCATTTCTCGCCAGCGCACGCCACCTACCAGCTAAGGAGCCCCAAAGGGTAGAAGGGTAGAATCTCTGACCTTGCAGCCCCAGCCCCGAAAAAACAACCTCCCCGCACGCCCCAAAGAAACCGCCCCAGGGAAGGAGGAGGAGAGGAGAAGCTTCTCACCGTAGCGCTGTAGAAGGGAAGGTTAAGACTTTTTGGTTTTGACCAGCCCCTTCTCAACCAGACAGCGATAGAACTCCTGGATGTACGTGTAAACGCACTTCCAATCTGGTTCCCTCATCCGGACTATGTCTTCCACGTCCAGCAACTGCGGGCATTCTGCCTGTGTCCTGGGGGAGGGGAGGGGGGGGGTTGTGGGGGGGGGGGGGGGGGGGGGGGGGAGGAAGAGGAAGCCAGTGATCACAGCCCGGGTGGGGAAGAGAGAAGAGAGAAAGAAAATCGGACAAAGAGAGAGAGAGAGAGAAGGAAAAAAAAAAACAGAAAACACAAGATACATAAATACAGTTCACATTCTCGGTGACCAGACCCAAAGTGCATGCAACTGGGGTGAGCAGGCATGGACTCTCCACCGTGCAATACAAACAGAGGAGGGGGGGGATATTGGGGTGCCGGCGGGTTGGGGAGTGGGCTCATTCCTGAGCGAGATGCAGAAGAGAAGGGCGGAGAGCGGAAGAGGCGACGGAAATCCAGGCGGGATGGCCAGGACGGACAGACAGACAAAAAAAAAGACCGGAGAGGTGGACAGGAGCGAGGTGCTCTTTTGGGGGCCCTCTATATCGGGGGTCCCCAACCTGTGAGCCGCACACCACAACCGATCCATGGCCTATTTGCAACCGGGCCACGTTAAGCTGCGGGGGCGGTTGAGGCCACACCGGCGCGAGCGTCGCAGGCGCTCGGGGTCCCACTCGGGCGAGCAACGGTGCCCCGCCCCTCCCACAGAACAAACCCCCCACTTTCAGCCCCCCCTCCCACCGCATTTAAAGGTTGGGGAACCCTGCTCTATATGGCAACATACAGAGAAGGGATGAGCGACTCGCTCGGCGTGCCCCATCCCGAAACGGGCCCCTGCACGGCATGGAGTGCGCCAAGCCAAGAAGAAGAAAGAAAGAAAGAAAAACAAGAAAGAATTAGGGGAAAGGGAAGGAGGGCAAGGCAGAAGCTGCACAGGAGACCCCTGAGTTTGGGCCGTGGGAGAAGGGCTCGCTCGGGCTCGTGGTCCGTGCCCCAGACCCACGGCGGGGGAAGAGTAAGGCGGAGAATGCGCCACGCTGCAGTCCAAACAGCCGGTCCCTCTCGCCTGATTTCACCCAAACCCGAATGGATCAGGAGCCACAGGCAGCCGAGAGGGAGAGCTGAAGAGAGGAGAGTCAGGATCCACACACACACACACACACGCACACAAAACACACACGCACACACAGAGTCCCAGATTGGTTCTGCAAGTGCCATTTTCCACAGGGCTGCTGGCAGGAAGGTTGAGAAAGGCCTTGGGAGAGGAAGCGCCGGAAGGGACAGGCGGAAAACAGCAAAAAAAAAAGAGAGAAAGGCGAAAAGGAAAAGGAAAAAAAAAAAAAAGGAAGGTTTCCCCATCCTGCCTTTCTCTGCGGGAGCAAAATCCCTCCCGCCCCAGAAAGCCAGAGAAGCCCCCGCCGTGCCAGCTGCTCCACAGGTCAAACACGCTCTAGGTGTGTCCCCCACCCACCCAAAAGCTGCAATGGGAGCCCAGCCCGTGATGCCGATCTTAGACAGGGGTCGCAGTTGCTTTTCGCCCTTGGACCATGATGCCCGCCTTCCTCCACTGCCACCCCATGCTCAGCTCCAGGCAGCGATGCGCCCCCCCCTGGCTCCCCCCACCGTGTCGTCCTTCAGGAACTTTCACAGGAGACCCATTTCACGGAGGGGAAAAAAACCGCCCAGGTCAGAGGAAAGTAGGTGTCCTAAGGCAAAATGCCTAAAATTGTGCCATCTTCACCCCAGGGAGGCTCCTGGTTGCAGGAGGGCAGGGAAACTGCCTAGATCCAACCTCCTGGGTAGGAAGCCAAGTCACCGGGTTGCTAGCTTCACAAATGCAATGATTCACTTAACAACGGGTGGCAAGAAATGCTGTAGAACGGGGCAAGACTCCAATGTCTCGCTTGGCAACATATACATTTTTGAGCTCAATTGTGATTGTTAAGTCAAGGTTTACCTGTATAGTTAAGGGCTGAAATCTCAGACGCCCGGGGTCAGGGCTCTAGGTTGTCGTTCCCACAAGTAGCCAAACAAGAGGAAACAAGCCACCATTCTGTTTGACTTACGACCCTTCACTTAAACCGTGGCTTAAAATGGCAATGGCTTTAGGGAAAAAGGGAGTTGAAACCCATCCTCAAAGTTTTGTAACCGTCGCACCAGGCCTGGAACTGCACCGACTACAATTCAGGCGCGTGGCCACTGTCTCACATCTACAACAATTGCGGTGTCTTGTGGTTACTATTTTGTGATTGCAATTTGCAACCTGTTAACGCTCACAAGGTTATTGCGATTTGCAACCTTCCCAGCTGGCTTCGTACAAAAAAAAATATTTCAATGGAGGAAGCCTGGATTTGCTTAAGTGTTGCGGTGAATAGTTAACTTATGGTTAAAAAAAAAAAAAAATTTGCAAAATTGGGATGACTCATTTAAGGACTGCATCGCTTAGCGGCTGAAATTCTGGTTGTGGCGTAAGTTGAGAACTCTTCTGTAAAAGGAGGGAGGGTGACAGCTCTCTCTTCGTTGCCCAAAATGTGATTCCCCCAACCGGATCACATTCCTGTGTCCTTCCTAACTGGATCCCCACCACCCAATTTTTTGGCCTGACGGGCAGCTCTGGACCCTTGGCGAGTGAGTTGTGCGTGCTCTCAAAATGGCTGCTGTGGCAGAGTCCCTTTGACGAAGCTGCCTCAAATTTCTACCCTCACGAATTCAACCGGGGACTTTGCGATGTCCCTGGGATCCATGGAGTGTGATTTCCTTGTTTATCGTCTCTACGGGACGATTTAGGTCCAATTGGACTGCCCAGCTGCCAGGATATCAACGGCTTTTCGGGAGCCCCCGAACTGCCCGTCGTCTCGCCGTGACGTCATCTTCTTCCCCACTTTTTCCGTCTTTCTGGGCTGCTGGACATGCTGCCCAGCCTTGCACCAACCTGTTGGGGTTCACCATCTTATTTTGCAAGGTGCCAGGAAGCTCTGGGGTGCCCTAGAAAAGGGCCCCCCCAACCCCTGGTCTGTGGATGGGCAGTGGGCCATGGCATGCCAGAAACTGGGCTGTGTAAACCAGGGAAGCCCCACCTGTGGGAGGCAGGCAGGAGGCGAAACCACGTTCCCTCCGGTCCACGAACAAACCTCTCCCCACAGAACTGATCCCTGGTACCCAAAAAGTCTTGGGGGCGGCCTGCCCTAGAGGGCTGGGAATCTCAGGCTGGCCTTCTTTGGGTCAGGAGTCCAGAGCATTAGTTAGAATGCAGTATTTATGGGCTAACTCTGCCAACTGCCAACAGTTCGATCCTGACCAGCTCAAGGTTGACTCACCCTTCCATCCTTCCGTCAAAATGAGGACCCAGATGGTTGGGGTTTGCGAGAGGCCGACTCTGTAAACCGCTTAGAGAGGGCTGGAAAGCACTGTGAAGCGGGATATAAGTCCAAGGGCTATTGCTATTGGGGTGGGCTAGGTAGCGGGGTCAGGAGCTCTTTTGGGAGCCAGCCAAGCTGACCAGAAAAGGCCCTGCCCCGCAGGGGGATACCTACTCAGCTGCGGAGAAGGCCATCTCAAAGTTGTGCCTCCGGTCCTGGGGCGAGAGTTGCGTGTAGTCGAAGGCCTCGGGGAAGAAGTTGTGGACGAGGGCGCAGAAGGCCATGCCGTCACTCCAGCTGGAGGAGAAGTTCTGGATGTCCACGTGCTGCCCGGGGGAGGCGGAGAGAGAGAGAAAAATGAGGGCGGTCAAGAACGAGAGGAACCGGGCCCAGGGAGGCCGCGGGAGACGGGCAGGCGCTCACCTCGTAGCCCCGTGTCTTGGCACGGCACCAGTCCAGGAGCATCTGCTTGATGGTGTTGGCGTTGGGGACCCCGAAGCTGGAGGAGCGCTGGATGGCCACCCGGGCCATCGCGGGGCTGGCAGGGCTGCAGAGAAGACAAAGCGGGCGTCTCGTAGCTGTTTGGGGGCCAGGCCGGCCGGCACAGGCACCTCCCGAAACGAGCGCCCTCCGAAGTTTTCCTTGGAGGCCGACCAGAGTGTTGGTGGCCCCAAAGTGTCACTCGGGAGGGAGGGAGGGAAGGAAGGAGGGGAGGAAGGAAGGAAGCAGTGAGGTAGGAGAGAAAGAAGGAGAGGACAGGAAAGGCAAGAGAAGGGAAGGAAAAGAAAGGGAAGGAAAGGAAGAAAGGCAAGGGAAAGGGAAGGAAGGGAAGAAAAGAAAGGGAAATAAAGGGAATGAAAAGAAAAGGAAAGGAAAAGGAGGAAAGGAAAGGGAAAGGGAAAGAAAGGGAAGGAAGAAAAGAAAGGGAAAGAAAGGAAAGGAAAGGAAAAAAGGGAAGGGAAGGGGAAAAAAAGGAAGGAAAAGAAAGGGAAGGGAAGGAAGAAAGGAAAGAGAAAAAAAGAAAAGGAAAGGAAGTAAAGAAAGGAAAAGAAAGGGAAAGAAAGGGAAGGAAAAGAAAGGAAAGAAAGAAATGAAAGAAAGAAGTGAAAGGAAAAGAAAGGGAAGGAAAGGAAGAAAGGAAAGAGAAAAAAAGGAAAGGAAAGGAAGTAAAAAAAGGACGGAAAAGAAAGGGGAGGAAAAAGAAGGGAAGGGAAGGGAAGGCAGAGCCACTCGCTATATTGGGAACAAAACGAAGCAGCACCAGCTGGATTCCGAGAGCCAAGGGCCTCCCCCCTTGGGGAGCATCTCGCCCTGGGAACCCGGCCATGGAAAGGCCCTCGCAAATCAAAGAGTTCTGCAGCCCACAGGAAGAGCGTCCCTCCAGGAAGCCGCCAAGATGTCAGCTGAAGGAGCCAAGCTTGCCAGCCTCTTGTCTGCTTCCTTCCGGAAAGGCTTAGGCTGGGAATGGGGAGCAGAAATCCTTTGGGAAGGGGGGGGGGAAGGGAAAACACTCCAATCTCCAGCCTTAAAAATCATCAACATCCTCCCCCAAACTGTTATAGTTTACTAGCTAACCCAGGGAGCAAAATGAGCAAATCCCAGTGGGGCTCCATCGTTGGGGCTGGTGGTGGGATTAAAACAGAAGCAGGGTTAAAAAGTGGATGACCTCCAAGGTCCCTTCCAGCTCTCTTCTGATTGATTGATTGATTGACTCCCATTCACATTTCGTCTCTCCTTTTGCATTCTGAATGATTTTGATCCTTAATGATTTTATTCCACCATTTCTTTGATATTCGTGTAAGTTGGCAGCAAGTTGTCCCACAGTGAGTTGGCCATGGGAAGTTGGCCATAGTGAGTTGGCCATGGTGGGTTGGCCATGTTGAGTTGGCCATGGGAAATTGGCCATGGGGAGTTGGCTATGGGGAGTTAACCAAGGTGAGTTGGCCAATGGGGAGCTGGCCATGATGAATTGGCCATGGGAAGTTGGTCATGTTGAGTTGGCCATGGGAAATTGGCCATGGGGAGTTGGCTATGGGGAGTTGACCAAGGTGAGTTGGCCAATGGGGAGCTGGCCATGATGAATTGGCCATGGGAAGTTGGTCGTGTTGAGTTGGCCGTGGGAAGTTAGCCATGTTGAGTTGGCCATGGGAACTTGGCCATGGGAACTTGGCCGTGGTGAGTTGTCTCCTTTCTTCCCCCTTGAGCCCAGCTCCTCACCTCCCGCCCTCCTTCTCCAGCTTCTCGATCATGGCCTTGCGCGCCTGCGAGGCGGACATCTTGGGCATGGTCTGGGCCTTCATGATCTCCTTCTTCCTCTCGGCTTGGCGCCGCTCCAAGTCAGCTAGACTGCTCCCAGACCTGGGGCTTGGATCCTCCCTTTCGAAGATGCTGCACCAAGGGGGGCGGAAGAAAGAGGACAAAAATGACAAATTCCAGGGGGCGGGGAGAATTCCTCCAACCCTCCTCTCCAAGAAGACAAACACATCAGCTCCAAGTACTTGGAGGGTTATTTATTAATTCCATTAAATAGCATCTGTTGTCTGTCCCCTCCACCCCATTTTTCCCCCAAGGGATCTGTGCAAAGTTTGGAAGTCCAATCAGGTTGGAAAACAGCCCATTCCGAACAGAAAACCTACTCAAACACACCCTCCCCTATGACCGTCATAAATGTGAATCAGCTGCCAAGCATCCCAAGGTAAACCACGTGACCTTGGGGATGCTGCAAACAGCCATAAGTGTGGAAAATGGTAATAAGTCGGCTTTTTTCAGTGCCGTTTGTAACTTCTGTAAGACTATCAGTACCACCTGAGCTGTGTTCGCATAACAGACTTTTAAAAGGCATTACATTTAAATTTCCTGGGAGTTTTTTTTGCGGGCAGGCCGTTTTCCGCTTCTTACTTTTTAAACTGAAAAGAAAAAAAAAATACTTTTTAACCCTGGCAAGCAGATATTAATGTTCCAGAGCTCGAAACCAGAACTGCAGAGTTTGTAAGGAGAGAGAAAGGCAGAAGTGCTCCCTGCATTCATTCCCAGGGTCTCTTCCTTTTTTTATTATAAACTTGGAGGGGGAAGGAAAAAAATAAAATAAACGAGAGAGAGAGAGAGAGAGAGAGAGAGAGAGAGAGAGAGAGAGAGAGAGAGAGAGAGAGAGAGAGAGAGAGAGAGGGAGGGAGGGAGGGAGGGAGGGAGGGAGGGAGGAAAGCATCTTGGAAGCCAAATTCAGAGAATTCGAGATCTGGAGGAGGGGGCTCTGGAAGCTCGGGCCTTTTTGGCAAGGGGTGCATTGCCTGCCAACCGCAGGGCTGGAGGGTGGGGGATGGGTAAGGGTGGCCCCTTCTTGCCTTTTGTGTTTTGTTTTGATTCGAGCTATTTTTAGCCTGGTTTTCTCCTCTGCGTATTTTCAGGGTTGGTGTCAGCTGCTTGGAGAAGTCTTGTTTAAAAGCAGGATATAAATAACACCGGGGGGAAAAAGACATACGTGGAAGGAGCTCAGCTCAGCTCAGCCCCAGACCTCCCTCCGTTTTACCAAGGGAGATAAGTTACCAGCCCTCCAGGTTCATTTTTGGGGGGGACCCTTGACTGTTTTGGGTCCCTTTGGGGTGGGGTGGGGGCTACAAATTCTGGTTCCTCTCACCTGTGCATTCACACACATATACACACACACAGAGAGAGACACACCAGGCCTCCTTTTCTTCCTGCGCTCTCTGAGCACTTCCTAACGTAAGATCAGCGTCCTGGGCGAGTCCGCCTGGGATTTGGCTGCACCCCAGAGTGGCAGCATTGCATGACTCAGAAAACTCAGGGGTGGGGGCGGGGAAGGGGGGTCTTACCTGCCCACTTTCTTGGAAGACGACGAGCTGTACGACTTGGTCTGGACAAAGGTGTTGCCGTCTTCTGGAAACAGGCAGGAGGAGAGAAAGAGGAGGAAATGACCTCTGGTTCATTGGAAGCACCTGTCCAGGTGATCTTTTCCCCAAACCAGGAACAGGGCTCCTTTGGGTCCTCCAGTCCCGCTCACCTCCCAAGGACCCTTCCCTCAAATCAGCCCTGGCATATTTTGGGCGAAAATCAAATTCTGCAGAGAGGAATGTCAATCCTAAGGGTTGAAAATGCAGTCCCTTGTTCACTTATGACTATAACTGTGTTGCTTGTACCTTTAACATTTATATTGTTTTATTTGTTTCCTAGTATGTTTTGATTGATTATTAGTAACCTATGACTGTCACTAAGTGTTGTATCTTAGGATTCTTGATGGATCATCCTTTTTTCTTATGTACACTGAGAGCATATGCACCGAAGACAAATTCCTTGTGTGTCCAATCACACTTGGCCAATAAAGAATTCTATTCTATTCTATTCTATTCTATTCTATTCTATTCTATTCTATTCTATTCTATTCTATTCTATTCTATTCCATTCCATTCCATTCTATATTCTATCCTTTCTCATTCTATTCTATACTATTCTATTCTATCCTTTCTCATTCTATTCTATTCTATTCTATTCTATTCTATTCTATTCTATTCTATTCTA